TCTTCTCTTCCCCCCTCATTATTTCTCTCTCTCTGTCCTCCTCCTTTCACCCGTTCTTCCCCCCCTCTGTTTCGGTTCTTTGTATTTCTCCCTCCTTTCTAATTCGTTCCCCCCCCCACTCCCACTACGAACCACGCCATCGTCCTCGTGCGTTTATCTGACCGCTCAGTGATGTATAGAAGATCTCGGCTTCCCCGGAGAAGAGTTCATGCGTTTGTCTTGGGGACCGACACAACCCCCCCTCACCTGAACGCTCGTGTGGTTGTCATTGCCGTGACTGATCACCCCAAGTTCACGAGCAGATGTTTGGATGAGCCTCAGCAGTGTTGCATAAGCCACTTTGTTCTCCCGGCAAAAATCCCAGAGCGCTGGAGTCATGGGTCTCATCTGGAATTAAATCTGATAGGGAGCACGGCTATTAGGTATCATACTGAATCACAGAAAGTCGTAAAGATAACATAATTATCCGTCTATTTCCAAATGGATGAATGATAAAGTGAACCGGTGATGCAACGGGCACAGCGACGGAATAAAAAACACAGGTCAGATCAAGTCCCAGAATAATGGAGGCGGGTTATATGTGAGAACACCAGGATGCCGTAGCAGCTCTTATGCAAGTATATCCAGTTTCAGTTCACTTTCATCTGTCATGCTTCAGGATGATCAAATAGCGGTTATCTATATGAACACACACGGCACTGTAGATAACAGCGCGCTCAGTCATCAAGCAGCCCAACTGTGTACATTTCAGGTGCATTTGAACCCGCGGCTAACGGGTGCGAGCATGAAGCACTATTTTCAACTCATGCGAGAGTGACGTGCAGAAAAACAATATTGTTATTTCATTCCGTCACCAAAATGCCTCCCTCGCTATCCCTTAAGTGTGCTATTTCTGAACAATGAGTAACAACCAGCTATAATGTCATGAAGAACACTGTTGGCTTAAGCTCAGAACAGTCTCTCTGTTCCCAGTTAGGGGTAAATATCCAATGAGAATGAGCCACTGGTCGTGCTGTGTCCCCATGCTCCACATTCCACACCCGTTGCCTTACATGGTGATGCAAGATTATTGGTGAGGCCAAAGGTTTCCGGGGCGACATTTATGACAAGCGTACTTGTAAATAGTACACACCAAGCGCGTATACACATGTTTGTTGTTCTGCTTTTCATAGCCCTAAACTTAACCCCGACTCAGAAACCATGTTCCTTATTCCCTATTCCCTAGCCCTAAACTTAACCCCGACTCAGAAACCATGTTCCTTATTCCCTATTCCCTAGCCTTAAACTTAACCCCGACTCAGAAACCATGTTCCTTATTCCCTATTCCCTAGCCCTAAACTTAACCCCGACTCAGAAACCATGTTCCTTATTACCATAACTCTAATCTTAACAAAAACCTGGAACCTAATGCGTACCCAATTTGAAATGTTGCCCTAAACCTCACACTTTAGCCAAACTTTCTTTCTGAAGTGCAAAATGTCACTCCCAAGTCATATTACTTTTGCTTTTTTATTATCACAGGGATTGTTGGTACTCAGAAGTACAGTAAAATCTGCAACGGTATGGACACACACACACACACACACACACACACACACACACACACACACACACACACACACACACACACACACACTCGCGCAGATATAACTTATTAACAGAAAAGGTCATCATTGCTGAATAGTTAGCTATGAAATCTAACTCATGCTCTTCAGGCATCTTGTAGAGAGCTCACACTGTGTTTAGGACTCGTGAGGAAGTAAGGCGAGCCATGTTTGGAGCACTTTGGACAAGGACGATGATGTCATAGTTGGCTCAGAACCCTGCTAGTGACCGGAGAATAATATAGTGTGGATATTATCAATGATTATGTCGATACGTTACAGAGCTATTTGTTCTGCATACAACCAACATGTTGCCTGTACGACGGCACAAACAAAGATGTGAGGCCCGGCTAGATTTGAAGTGAACCCGGCATGTGTTTGACTGCCTTAGATACTCCACACGCCACGTCAGGGAGCAGTCTCATTGTTCTCTGACTGTATGAGAGTGTGTCCACACAGTCACCATAGAGTTTTCCTGACATGTCTGACACAGTCTGGTTTGTCTGCTTACACCATTGGGCCCTCCTAATCGTGCTATATGATACCCGCTCACCTAGGGTTTGAAGTCACCCGCCCCCAGGATGGACAGCAAGACCTGATCACAGACCTGTTACATCCTGATCACTTGAGGGCAACCGACATGGTATCTATCACCATTGTCCCCTCCCATCACTGTCTCCATGGTGACAAGCGGCGCGGACATAACACCATTTCTGGTTGCAAGGTGACCTCATCATCTCCCCGAGTGTGGTCAGAGATACGAGTTCAGCGCCGGTTTGGGTCCAGGGACCGTGAAGGGATAAAGACATGTCTACTTTGTCACGCCACATGAAAGACGGATGGTTCTTTGTGCAGAAGAGCCACAGCGCTATTTCAGGAAGTTCTAAGCCACAGAGATGGAAGAGTGCTGTAAGGAAGAAAAACAAGGTGGTTATGTCCTTATGTCCTTGAACAATTCCTCCTCATATAGGAAAAGAAAGCTTTTTAACACCGAGCTCTTTTAAATCTGCCCTCCTGGAGAAAGGATGGACTATTTGTTTTGGCATTGTGGTATATGGTGAGACTGGGCCTTCATTCATCAAAATAAAATCACAAAGAAAGTGTTAGTCTTTGTTGGACAATCATGGGACTTTCCCTGGCTGATGTACACAAACACACACACACACGTACACACACTGGCACAAACACAAAAACACACACACACTTTCTTGAAATTTCTCTGTGTCTTTCTCCCTCTCGCTTTCTCCTTGCCGGTATCATACCCAGTCACACAGTGGACCTTGCACCGTGGCGGCACTGCCAAATCAAACACTTCCCATTTCACAAAGCATCTGTCCCTTCGCTTAACAACTTGATAAACACGTAGCCAACAGTCATATCGGAGTTCCAGCCAGGACGTTGGCCTTCCAGTGAACCTGCCTTAATGAATCAGCACCATAACACCTGAAGGCCAGCGCGTCTCTTGTGTCAATTTCATTCCTCATAAGTGTTCGACGTCCAAAATGTCCCAAATGTGCTCCCCTTTGTGTCGCTCAAGCAGCAACTTCAATGTCATTCCGCGGTTTGCGGATGTTATTCCACTTCCACCAAAAGCACACATGACCGCCGTCTGAACTTCTTTGTCTTTCGACTAAATCTAAGATGAAAAAGGATGAGGTCATCATTCCAACTGACACCTTTGTCATTGTGGTCCGTTACCCAAGGAGGTGTCGAGACCAATTCTTCTTCCTTCATTTGGCTTACTTTCTATTGTTCTTCCTGTGTTGGCGTTATCTTAGAGGTTTTAAGGAAAGCTATCGCATTCCCAGACCGTGTCAGAAGACGCCTTCAGCCTCTGAGCGTTCAAATATTTCCGGCATAAAAGACAACAGCAATTCGATCCCCGTTGTTTTGTTGCATCAGCGTGAATCTTATTCAAGGCTTTAGATCTCTAATCTTAATAGTTAAGGCACTGGTGTGTGTGTGTGTGCTTAAATTACACACGGCTGTTGTGTTGCCTTGTCCCTTTTCCTGAAACAAACCGAAATGGGTCAGTGAACGGGGAGGGTCGGGGGTCAGGGGTCATTTCCCGCTCACACCGCCCGTGTCACATGCTTTCGTTCTGGTTCTCAATTCCGGGGCTCATGGACACGATCAATTCCTCCCTGCCTTGATTCCAGACACGAAGCCTGAGGTGGAAAGACTCACCACAACCGTCTGATGTCACGTCTGTGTGCCAGAGAAGGATCACGCGCTCTGTCCTTTCAGGTCAGGCGATGAGTCATTTCAGGTGGGGTCCGTCACGTATCTATCAGCGTTTGTAAACGACTGTAAATGATAACAGGAGGGAGAGAAGCGCAGGGCTGCTGGGAGCTGCTCGGTCAGGTCCCACCTTTACCTCCTGTTCCATTGAACCCTCCGTTACTGGGCCTGTAGTGTGATAATGTCCCTGACCTTTGGATCATGGCGGTACCAATGGAATTGACGTGGAAACGCGGTGCTTGTATTCCTACGAGCGGTTCAGATCGCCGGTGCTTATTAAAGGAGACAATACAGTGTTATTCGTTCGGAGCTAAAAGGTTCAACTGATCCTATCTGTAGCCTGCGACGGGATCTAGACGTGGTAGATTTCGGCTCCTAGCTGTGCGTTGCACTGATAAGGTAATTCTCGGTTCTTATTAGGTGCCCTGCAGTAAACGTTTTCCAGCAGACATACTTTCACCACACCCCCTTCTTGTTGACGCTTCCCGGTTTGTGTCGGTGGAGAGGTTCCTCTCCTAGATGTTCTACTGGCTCCTGAGGGGTTATTTTCCTGTGTGAAGGAGGCATTGGGGAACTAGTGGCAAGCGTAAGGCACAATGTACAGTCAATGAAAACATCCTGTATGGATATCCTTCCTGCCCACACATAACACAATAGCTCTTTGACTGAAAATGCTTGTCGTTTTTATAATGCCTACTGGGTCTTTCTTGTTAAAATGTCAAATTTATTACATCGTAATAGAGGAAGTTAAGAATTGAGGCTGTTTATGAGTGTGAGTGTTCATATCACCTGGTTTGCCCTGTCTATGTGAACCATGGGCCTGGTACCCAGTCAGGTGCTGCTCATGTTAGCTATCCTACGTTATCTATCCACGCCCCCCCTCACCTCTCCCTCTCCAGGAGCCGGGGCCTAGGATCACAACTTGGCACTGCTTCTCTCTCTCTATCCCTTTCCAGACCTGTAAATGCCTTTTTATGACAAGCAGATTGATGTTCTTCCTACGGTTCTGGCCTGCTGTATGCACCGCTACTTATGTTATACATTGACCCTCCAGAATACCATCTTGCCTTAATTCATGTTTTATCTAGATTGATTTACTAGAACAATTAGGTATTAGTGCCATGCTTAATGGTAACAACACGCGATTCATTACCTTGTCTGCACCAGGATTTGAATCAGAAACCTTTCGGTTGCTGGCCCAGCGGCTCAACCGCTAGGCTATCCGGTCTTTGGCTAAGTGGCTAATCTATTAAGCGCCATCCCTTGAAGTTCTTTTCTAGGTTCCTGCCTTTCTCTGATGTTATTCTGGCTACTGTGCTTCTGTATCTGTAAAGCTTGTTGTTTGTGGTTTAGGCTGGTTTTCTGCAAGCACTTAATGACTCACTAAAGTATACATGTCTTCATGACATACATTTAATTTAATACTGTATTAAACATGTCTTCATGACATACATTTAATTTAATACTGTATTAAACATGTCTTCATGACATACATTTCATTTAATACTGTATTAAACATGTCATCATGACATACATTTAATTTAATACTATATTAAACGTGTCCTCATGACATACATTTCATTTAATACGATATTAAACATGTCTTCATGACACACATTTAATTTAATACTATATTAAACATGTCCTCATGACATACATTTCATTTAATACTGTATTAAACATGTCTTCATGACATACATTTCATTTAATACTGTATTAAACATGTCTTCATGACATACATTTCATTTAATACTATATTAAACATGTCCTCATGACATGCATTTCATTTAATACTGTATTAAACATGTCTTCATGACATACATTTAATTTAATACTGTATTAAACATTTCTTCATGACATACATTTAATTTAATACTGTATTAAACATGTCTTCATGACATACATTTCATTTAATACTGTATTAAACATGTCTTCATGACATACATTTCATTTAATACTGTTGTTAGATTTACTGTAGTGGGATTTCAAGCGGCCCCCAACCCCAGAAACAAAGATTAACAATTGGTTTAGGTTTGTCCTCTGTGACCAGGTTTTTTGCTCTTTTGGATCTGGATTAAACCAGTCCACCCACTTCTATCCGGCCAGCATGCAGGTTTTCAGAAAGGGTATGTCTGGGTTTTCACTCTAAGAGCAGTGAGCACGCTGAAACATGACTTAACGTTTAAGTTCCCTCATTTCTTTGTTAATCATAAAACCTTGACCATGCAGCAATTCAGCTTCCCGGAATCTTGTGTTCGACCGCCCAGTTGTAGTGGGAAGTGAGGGACTTGGGAATATTATGGAGTTTCCTGTCAATGTAATGACCCGATCGGTGAGCCCCGAAACTGAAACAGACCATGCCCTGGAGACGGAGTGTGCCGAAACACATGACCTCACACATACACGTGCGTGTGCACAGGTTGTTCTTTTGCCTTGGGTGCTGGCGTTGACCCGCGGCTCGTTCGTGCCCTGGCTCTAACCTCCGTCTGAAAGTGTTCCGAGGGAGTTGTGTTCCAATGCGAGCCCAGTCCGGTCGTGTGTCTCCATTCGGAGGCCTCAATGGTTTCCACATGCGGGAAACGTGTCTCGCGTGAGCCCCCACATTGTCTAGGGAGTCGACCGACGACAGGGGACGAGACACGAAGGGCCACGGGTGACATCACAACTGCTGTTAATGTTTTCAATGGAATAGGTAAATAGGCAAAGCCGTTCGGATACTGGAATCACACAAGCTTTGGTTCCGATTATTAGTGTTTGCATGACTTATGGCTGGTAGCAGAGCCAGAGCAGACGACCAGCAGACTGTTTACATTTTGCTCATTTGGCCGGTGACACCTAACTGCACGAGCTGCATAACTCCAGCTGTGTTGTTCTGCGCTGTCTCTCTTATGTTACTAAGTAATACAGGTAGAAACACCCTCCCTCTCACTGCTCACGTTCTCACAGAGGTTGGTGAAGACACAGTAATACGTCTTTACGAGTCAATAAATATGACATCTCCTGACAGCAGGTTTAGACATGAATCAGTCACCTTGTTGTTTCTATTGTATCAATTCTATTGGTCCAAACAGATGTGTGGAGTGTGGTCATTTGACCAGTTACCAGTTCACTCACATTCACACACACACACACACACACACACACACACACACACACACACACCCACACACTGATAAACACACACCCACACACACACACACACAGATAAACATACACACACTCTCATGCCCGCTCTAGAAAATCCTCTTCTCTGTGGGCCAGGGCGAAGAGAAACGTTTAATGTTTTTCTCTATAGCCTGAAGCATTACCAAGCAATACCTAAACCACCACACCCAAAACGTTTGTGCCAAAGGTAAATATAGGCTAAGGCAAATGTTTAACCAGACAACAAAATATTGGCAAACTGTTTTGTATTATCAACCTTCTATCCAAAACAAATGATTACATGATTTGTTTTTCAGTTATTAACGCATAGCCTATTGGATACCAGGTAAGCAGTGTCAGAAGCCAACCTAAAATGCCTTAGTGTTTAGGCCACATTTAGTAAAATGCTTGTTGTTTTGGGTAATGGACTTGATGCTTTTGTAAAACAGTTGTGCATTTAGGTGAGCATTAAATTAGATCCTACTTCATTGTCATTGAACAGCACAAGTACAGTACAACAGAATGCAGTTTGCATCCACCCAGAAGTGAAAAAAGAGTTGTGGCAAAAACAATATGCAGGGCAGTGTGTCAATGTGCCAACGTATGAGATAAGATGGAGTACAGTGTAAGGATGTGCAATTGACATGGATAAGTAAATGTGCAGGTATTCAGTTCAACAATGTAGCAAATTGCAAATATGCAGAGTACAAGCGGAAAATATCAATGTGGCAAATGGCAAATATAATAAATAGGCTAGCAGTGTAGGCTAACAGAATGCATTGTACAAATAGCGAATCATGCAAATAAGGTAGCATTGAGGGATACAACAGTGTGCACTGCGCAAATAGCAGATAAAATAAAACGAAATAAAACCATCAATCTTGGGTTACACGTACAAGTAGACATTTAGCCCACAGCAAACTCTAAGTTGTCAGACATATCTTAGAAAAGGTTATGTAGATTCCACAATGTAGGACATTGATGAGTGCGTATACACTATATAGCCCAACACCCCAACTAATTATTGCGTTTAGGGTGTTTCAGCCACACCCATTGCTCACAGGTGCATAAATGCCAGCACATTGCCATGAAATCTCCATAGGCAAACATTGGTACAGTACAACGGGTGGTACTGAAGTGCTCGGTGACTATAAACATGCCATTAACATAGAACGCCACCATTGCCACGAGTTACTGAAATGTAATGCCCCTTAGATCTGCCCGGGTCAACAGTGAGATCAACAATGACGATCTGGTAGACCAGGCAAACTCACAGAGCGGGGTCGGCAGGTACCGAAACACCTACCGCATAAAACCAAGCATCTGTTGTATCACCTGACCATAGAGATCCGCACTGCCTCTAACAGCAACATCAGCACAGGAACTGTGCGCAGGGAGCTAAACTAACTGGACTTCCATGACCAAGTAGCTGTTCACAGGCCTCACACCAGCATCATGTGCAATGTCAAGTGTTGGCTGGAGGGGTGTGACCCATGCCGCCGCTAGGCTCTGGAGCCGTGGAAATGTGTTCTCTGGAGGGATGAATCACGCTTCGCATTCTGGCCAGATGAATCTGGGTGTGGCAGAGTTGCCAGGTGAATGTTACCGACCATAGTGCCTACTGTACAGTCTGGTGGAGTAGGGATAATGGTCTGGGGGTGTGTTTCAGGGTTGGGTAAAGGTCCCTCTGTTCCAGTGATGGGTCATTTAATTGTTACTGGATACAATTATATTTTACAAAATGTGGTGCCTCCTACTCATTTTTCTGTTCCAGCATGACTGTGCCACAGTGCACAAAGCGAGGGTTCATAAAGACATGGTTTGACCAGGTCGGTGTGGAGGAACCTGAGTGGCCAGTACAGAGCCCTAACCTCAACTCAACTGAACACCTTTCGATGAATTTGATTGGCAATTGTGATTCTCATTCTACATCCGTGCCTGTTTTCAGGAATCATATTTTGGCTGAAAAGTTTTCATGTAGACACTCCCTAATCTTGTGGAAAGCCTTCCATGGTGGTGGCTGTTATGGCTGCAAAGCGGATAATACCTGAGGGCTCCGGCTGCCACTCTACCTAACCCTCACCGCCCCTGATTGTCCCTGTCAGACTGGTCATGCGTCTGACCTGGACTGTCCCAGAACAGGGCTTGCCACCCCTCAGAGCCTGGTTCCTTCCAAAATTTGACCCATGCTCTGTCAGGTTTTAGGCTAGGTGTTTGTAAAAACACTTTGTGACAACTGTCAATGTAAAGTGTTTTGATAAACATGCTTTAGTTAGACATCGCTCTTCTTGAGTGGGAGAGGGGAACGCGTTGACATACAGTCTAATATTAAGTCTGGGAGATAGACACATTCCTGAAATTTACTGTTGGTTCCCTCCAATTGCACACACATAACATGCTCTGGTGTTTTGCCAGGATCACACAAAAACTGACCAATTAAGAAGCAAGCCGCATCAAAGCCAAGTTATTAGCCCTAACCAGAGCCAATTAGCCAGCCCTAAACAACGATAAGTTATTAGCCCTAACCAGAGCCAATTAGCCAGCCCTAAACAACGATAAGTTATTAGCCCTAACCAGAGCCAATTAGCCAGCCCTAAACAACGATAAGTTATTAGCCCTAACCAGAGCCAATTAGCCAGCCCTAAACAACGATAAGTTATTAGCCCTAACCAGAGCCAATTAGCCAGCCCTAAACAACGATAAGTTATTAGCCCTAACCAGAGGTTTCTTGGGTCAGAGTGAAGTTTCAATATGCCAACGTATGTTTTTTTAGTTTATTTTAAAAAACATATTAGGGTTTTTTTAAATAAAGTATGTGTGTGTGAGGGAGTTTCAGTGCATGTTAAGAAATGCTTTGTGACGTAATATTGTTTGATGGTCATTGACATTGACAATAAAATAAGGACAACGTTTATGAATTAATCCAAACAACATTGTGAATGAATTGTAATATGCATGAACATAATTTCTGGATTGAAATCATTGAAATTTGGTGTTTTGTAAAGGGACAACAGAATATCAAAAATAATATATATACAATTTTAATATAAAAACGGAGAAGTAACAAATCTAACACAATAAAAG